ACGGAAAAAGACAAAAAAAATAAATAAATAAATAAATAAATAAAAATAAAAAATAAAAAATAGTAAAGACACGATCAGAGATAGACAAGGGCTAGATCACATACACAACATTTTAGCAAGGTCTATAAAATTCTATGGGAAAAAATATATACAGTTTATAAACTATAAATAATGTATAGTTTATATAATTAGAAAAAATACTTATATTTTTTCTAATTATATTTATATTTTATAAGCTGTATAAAATATAAATAATTTATATAAATAATTTATAGTTTATATAAATATATATAGTCTATACCATGGGATTTATCTAACAAGTATAAGGGTATATATCATACGTATATGATTGTGTGTATATATGTATTAGTTATATAAATGGTATATATATTGCATATATGATAGTGGGTGTATATATATGCATTTATATAAAACCTGAAAATGAAAGGGTTCAAAAATTATAAAATATATGCAGTAAGGTGTATGGGTAAGTATGTATATTTACACACACACACATACATATATACACATATGTAATAGTGTGTGTGTATATACATATATGTATTTATTTTTTTTATTTTTATTTTTTTTTAAAAGATGACCAGTAAGGGGATCTTAACCCTTGACTTGGTGTTGTCAGCACCACGCTCAGCCAGTGAGCGAACCGGCCATCCCTATATGGGATCCGAACCCGTGGCCTTAGTGTTATCAGCACCGCACTCTACCGAGTGAGCCACGGGCCGGCCCCATATATGTATTTATATAAAACCTAATAATGCAAGGGTTCACAAAATTGATCTTCCAAACTTCTATTCTCAAGCGGCCACTGGAGAACTTGCCACCACAATACATAAATGAACTAAGGAAGAAGATGACATTGGCTCAAGAAAACATGGAATAGGACACATGAGAGAGGTGAATGGTTATGTCAAGGCTGATGGTGAAAGGCATGCCCTGGCTGATAGCTGAGCAGCAGGCCAAAGAGTAGACACCCAGAAGGAATCAAGTTTATAGAAGCTTGGGAAGGATGTCTCCAAGACAAGAAATTAGCCAATAGATAATCTAGATACATAAATGTTTTGAGAGGAGATATGTAGTACTGTCAAAGATTTGAAGACAAGTTAGTAATGGATGAGTAGAAATCTAAGCAAATGAAAATAGAGGAATTTATTAGCAACTGGAAAATGATTCAGATTTGTGATTCAGTTGTGATTAACACATAACAAATAATAATACCATACACATTGAAAACTGATTTTACCAAAAATTGGAAGTAAGCATGGGAAGATGGGTGGTTGGAAGAGTATATAGAGTGAAGAGGAAGATGGATGCAAGAAAACTAAATCTGAGTCTTCCGTAGATGGAAGTTAGTAGATAATGCCTATTTTTTTAGAAGCTGAAAATTAGAGGAATTATTGAATTTTGGTTGAAGAAGATACAGGCTAAAGGAGAAGGATTTTCCCTTTTTTTTTTGTAAGAAACCAGAAACTTGAGTATATAGTAGCTGAGACACTGGCTTGGGAGGTAGGTTGGGTAGGGATTCAGAGGACAGATTGGGCAAAGTATCACAGTTGTTGAGAGCATGGGTTCTGGAGGAAGACTGCATGTGACTGAAACCTTCTTCTATCAGTTGATTGCTGAGTGACCATAAGCAAATTAATTAATCTCTCAGAGTCTCAATTTCCTTAGGTATAAAATGGTGATAATAGTATATACCTCATATGGCTCTCGTGAGGGCAAAATGAGTTCTTTCAAAGTAAATAACTTAGAATACTGCCTGGTCCAGCCTAAGTACTATATAAATACTGGTTGCTGTCATAATTATTATCATCAGTTATTATAACTACAATTATTATTCCTCTGAGGTAATGTAGATGTATGTATTGGTTGGTCAAGTCAAAGATACATTATTTGGGAATCAGGACACTAAAGATTTATATACGAGATAGCTTCTGTTGTGGAGAGTTCTTGTTTAAATGTGCTTTTTTTTTTCTTTGTCAAGCAGGGATGGGTGAGGTGGGTTGTCACTGGCAACTCTTCAGCTGCCAAAATATTCCACTGATAAAAACTGGAAAAACCATCAGACCATGTAAAAGAACAATATTTGGTTTCTAGTGTTAAAAAGGTCTTTTGCATTTAGCATCTGAAAAATAAATCTAAGTTGAGACCAGCCCTACAAGAAATCTTCAAGGGAGTCCTAAATGTGGAATCCAAAAAATGACAATCACCAATAGTTTCCACTTTTTTGAACATTTTACTTTGTATCTTTTTCTCTCAACATTATGCTTGTCATCATTTAGGTCTGAGCTATTATTTACTTGCATTTTCTATACATTTAGTTTCTTTCTATATTAAATGTCTGTATTTAACAGTGACACATTTGTATTGTGTGCAAGTATACATATTCTTTTTGTTTAGAAAGTCTCCCTTACCCACTGTAAATATGCATATATAATTGGCCAGCTTCAAGGTTCTCCATATGGAGCTTCAGAGGTACGTCAACCATACACCAGAACTGAAATTGTCAACTGTGAAAAGGTAGCAAGCAATCTATCATTTTGATTTTGCCCATTCATTTTTAACTAAAATAACTAAATACTCGGTTAGTTCTAATCACGTTTTTTATTGTACTGCTTTAATTATATGTTTGAAAAATGATTTAGAATAAAAACAAAAGAGTAAAATGGTCTCTACTAATTTCTTTATGAAATATTGTAAACTTCTATATGATGTATTTTAATCAACACGCAAATCCCTGCAAATATTATTTTAAATGACAAATACTAACCAAACACGTCCCTTATTAGACAAGGGATATTTACCTCGTTGACTGTGATACTTTTTTGTAACTCATTCGCTGAAGATATAGAAACTTCCAAAATCAAGCATACTTAAAAATAGAACTAAAATATATCTTAATTTCAGGGAGTCAGATATGTGAATTCTTTGGTAGTGACTGGAAAGTTTAAAGAGCACTGAAAGTACAAAAATATTTTATAGAAAAATTAGTTGAAACCACTTTACTCTTCGACTGTAATTTTGAATCTGTATCTTTAAACTCAAGAACTCACATGTAATTGAAGTGACAAACACACAAAAAAGTCCACTTCTATGAATACAGCACAATCATAACTAACCACCACCAGAAAACAACTTACCTTTATGTGACTTAAAGTAAATGTTACTTTTTCAAGTTCATACAATGTTGGTGGGCTTGACTTAATTGAGACTGAAATTACTGAAGAGATGACTCTTTCCTCCTCTTCAGAGTTACCATAATCTTGAGGTTCCAATAATAAATTGTCAGATGATGAAATCAAGGGACCAATACTCTTATAGTATAAAAATGCAACCGCAACATTGCCTATCAATCAAATAAGTATACTTAATGAAATTCTTATAAAGCAAAATTGTACTCAGGCTCTTAAAATAAACATAGTAATCAAACATACACAAATTTTACTCTAAGGGAGTCATATGAATACTCACGCATTGAAGAGTGGGCCACAATAAGCCCATGACTACATCATCAAACCCTATTATGACTTATATTCTCTGACCTCTATGAATCCAAAAATGATCATGAACTGTAGCATCCCCTTTCTACAAACTATATTTTTAAGAGAAAAATAGTCCTAGATAAATTCATGTCCAAATCCTAAGAACCGAAGTGTGAATTGTAACCACTTAAAAGATAAAATTTTGAGTTATTATTTCATGTGCAAATATATAAATTAGAGAGCTATTAGGAGAAAATGATCACAGGCTTATAGAATTAGGAAAGTTTTTAACCGAACAAGTTGTGACATGCTACTGAGCTCAACCTTACGTCCACTGAAATGCTTCCTGTTTAACATTGGTAACATATATAGTGTCAGGGTAGAAAACTATGGTTTTATAATAAAAAGATAGCAGACTTTTGTTAAGAGAATCCACATATTTGTTAAATATGAGAGACAGTCATTTATCTGTGCCACTGACACTCCCCAAATGCAATGCATCAACATAACTTATTATTACAAAGTCATAAATACAAAGTTGATAGTATCATCAAAAACAAAGGACTCTTATCAAAATTGGAAATCTCCCTAATAAATAGTGTTCTTTTGATATGATTATGAGCTAAAAGTTCCCAAAATGTATTGTCATTCATATGTCTTAATCTAACAAGCCACTGCAGGAGAGGTTGCTAAGAACCTTGCATTGCTTACAGCATTTTTCTGAACTGCCAACTTAGAAAACTTATAGCAAAGAAAAGAAATGGATGTTAGTATAACATGGTTGGGCTAGTGAAATTATGACTCCAAGAGACGACAACTACCCCAGCCTTTGCTATGGACAGACCAGGGCTGGAAGCAGGACCTGGAAACCTTTTGGGTCAAGGTGGCCTGGTCCAGTTGATGAACCAGTTTATGAGACAGTGACTTCTCAGGGGTCATAGTAGGGGATGGTCCAAAGTCAAATGAAGAATCAAAAAGGTAAGATGGATTTTTAAAATCTATTAATTACTGCTATCTTTTCTAAAGGAAAATATTTATTTAACATCAATTTTTGACTGTGGGTGGAGGAGGGGGGCGCAGAATGCTCTAAAATCCCTTTTCACACCTTTTATGAATACTGTTGTAGCATTTGTGCATTCTCATCAATGTGAACTTCTTCCAATTCTCATGATTTCTCACTAACTCTAGGCCTGATTTAGCTTTAAACCTCTTACCAAATCTGTATGTGCCATCTATCAAAAATTAGGGGTTCATTCATTAATGAAAAGTACTAAAAACTTGGAATCATTTGAAAAGAATAGGACATTTCCTATTAAATCATCGTCCATCCATTCTTCCTCATTTTTCTTCTTTACAATTTTTATTCCAGTCTTTTTTGTCCTATGATCTTTCTAACATCTGTTAACATTACCATATCTTTACAAAGAACAGGATGCAGCCTTTAATTCCATCAATAGAATATACAATTGAGCATCTAATTAGTGCAAATAAGTGTAAGTTCTGGAGTCTTTACCTCAGAATTATTACTTATATACATTTGTTAGATGATTCCCATTCTGCAGCTCTTCTTTCTTATCCCTATCTATGTCGTTTAGTTACTTCTATTTCTTTCGAATAAAATTAATAAATATTGTTACTATGGTCCAATTAGGAGTTGCACTTCAGACTACTGGAAAACTATCAGGGTGGCAGTAATTATGGTTTTAACTTCTGCTAAATTCCAAGATAAATTTTTGCCCACATATATTATACAATTAACCTGTTAGAGAATCATTGTTCTGAAATTGCTTTATGCTACTTTCTCTTGAGAATAACTAAAAACACCTTCTCAGTAAGGTTTCATATGCTGCTTCATTTTGTTATCTAAATACTGTCCCACTATATAAGTAATTTAAAAACAAATATGTAGAATCTCTCAACAAAAGTCTATTATCTTTTTATTATAGAATCATAGTTCATTGCATTCGATCTTGTTTTGCTATTCTCAAATGGTCCTGCTTACCCTTCTAATATTCAGTCTATAAAAAACGATTAAAAATCCATCTCTGCCCCACGGACCTCCTTTATTTTCCTACTAATGAAAATGTGCAGTTTAAAAAAATATACATATTTTATTAATGAATTTTTTCAGTAAATGAATAATCACATGCGGACATCATTAAGAGAATTTGAAAGTCTTTTAGATTTGTCCTTATTTTTAATATCCAACCTTGAGAAAAACACATTTTCTTACTGTGCTTTATCGAGAGCTGATATTACTGTCCCTTTCAAATGTTTGTATGCGTGATCATTAAATATAACAAAGGTAACATACAATCAGACAGAATCTTTTTGAGAGATTAATTCCATGACAATTTAATCATCTGTCACTATAATAGGTATTTTCAATGTTTTATTCCTCCCAACTTCTGAACACTACTTAAATTGTCTTTGAAATTTCAACCATTTAAAATGTTCTTTGGTTTTCCTCCCAAGTATTATACGTATTCTTGCTTAATTAGAATAAGATATAAAAGGATAAGATAGGTTAAAAGCCAAGGGTTCAATAGTAATATGACTTAGTTACTTTTGCTTTGTTTGTGACCACCTATTTCTTAACTTTTGTATAGAAAATGACAAGAATGGAGAGAATAATATTGATGGATTAGAAAAAAAAGTCACATCAGTGCAGTAAAAAAGTAAAAAGGACATTCTTCTGAGAGTGAATATGCAGAATATTTTTAACTTAAAGAAAACACATCCTTTTATGAAATAGTGTCTATACATGAGACTATGTGTTTGTTTATATTTTTCATTTGTATTTATGACCATACATGCATTCTTTAAGAAAATATTACAATTCGTGTTTTTCCTAGGTAATATATTTTTACCTATATGGGAATAACAACAAAAATTCTACTATTAGCACAGATTTTTCCAAGTGTCAGGCTACTTGCTTGACTCTTCTTAGATGACAAGGAAAAATATTTCTTTTTAGGAAGGGCTGATTTCTGTGTTAACTCTCTTCCCTCTAGTATTGGTTCTGTACTGTTTGCCGATGTGCACGGAGTCAAATCTGTTAACTTTGCATCTTAATTCCATTATTTATAAAGAAGGCTCTTAAGTTAAATAATCATTAAGTTGCCTGCTAGTACTAGCATTCTCTGATTCAATTTTTTAAAAAAATGCTGCCTTTAGTTTAGTTGAAGAGTTTTTTGTACAAAAACTAAGAAATGACAAATGGAAAGTGAAATCTAGGCTTAAACAATAACTTTGTCTTAAAAAAACCTCTATTTTTCTTCCTCAGATAATCAAAAATTCAGTCTCATGATGAACAATATGAAGGATTACTGAGGAAGAAATATTCAAAGAACTCTATGTAAATTATAGCATCTTTGCTGCAAAAGTAGTAGTAAAATCAGAGGCCTTTTGTATATATTTTCATTAGAATCTCAAAAATATCAGAACATTACAGAGGTTAGAGGTAAGAGAAGGACATAGATATTATCAGCTGAAATTCTCCCCAATTATGTATATAAGAATGAAAATCTCATGTACAAATATGGATATTCTGTATAGAACCATCAAACTTTTTTATAGGAAACCATGAAAGCTCTATATTCACATAATATAATCAACTGCATGTGTTTATTGCAAATTCATTAGCATATTGTACGTAAGATTCTTAAAGTCTTACCATCTGAATCATATGCAGCTTTTCTCTTTGGAAATATCTTTATATAATCTCCATTCATAGTCATATGGGGATGAATATGTTTCATGTGATATGAATCAAAAAAGAAAACTTTGAGAGCTGAAACAAAATCATGAAAATTACAAATTCTCCAAAATTAGTTTAATCAATATACATAATCAATATATTTAATTATTTACAGTTTTATCCATCATTATTGTATTTTAACTTCTTATTTATGGCAAATAGAATGAACATATTCTGAACATGTTTGTACAGTTTATATCTTAAAATATGACTCAAATTTTAATTTTTTTATTTCACTATAGCACTCATGGTTTAATTTAATCTTTATTGATTTAAATAAAAGATAAAATATGTATACACTCAAGAAAGATATAAATCATAATTTATAAAGCTAAGACATGCAACTAAAATGTCTTATAGTATAGTATCTTTAATATAATTTAATACTTAAATGGTGATTTAATTAAATTCTTGAGTGATAATTCCCTTACATGGTGTATTTTCACCTTTCCATGCAGAAATATCATAGAAATGTAGGACACCTATATATTAATCACAATGCTTGCAGCATTAATGTTGAGTAAGTGGCAATCCTGATGAGATAATGTTTTTTGTATATTTACTGCTACATAGCAGGATGCCACCCAGAGAATGCAGTAAAGACATATGCAATGATTATTTCAGAAAATGTACCTTGTTTGTTTACTCAGAACAACTTCATAGGCATCCTCAGTTTGACCCAAGATTCTGAATGCTTGGAAATTGCATGAAGCAAGAAACATTCTAATTTACTATGTTGATTGCTTCATATTATGAAAAGGCAGAGGATTCCTTAAAAGAAATTTAAATATACTACACCCAAAAGATCTTATGTAAAGTCAAGCTAGATTCTAACAAGTCATGAGATGACTGATTCAAAATGACAAGAGGGTAATGTACTCTGAGCATTTAACTGTTAAAACAGTTCAGGAATAGGAAAAGGTAAACATGATAGGAAGGAGGCAGTACTTACACATTCATACTTTTTACTAGTACTTCATTCATATTTCTCTTGTAATATACATCGCCATTCATTTCTACATTGATAAAACTATGACTGATTAAATCAACAATATTTTAAATACCCACCCTCCCCCTTTGAAAATAGCTTGTCTGGGAAACACTATAGCTTTAAAATTGGCCTTCTCTTCTTACCTATGTCACTTGAATTAGTATCAAACTGAGTGGTCTTTTGCAAGTTCTGAGATATCCTTAAGGTAGCTTGTTCAGCAGTGTGCATCAGTTTTGTAAGATGAGTTATCCTATGATTTGCAGATAACTTGTCCCAGACTGTAAATGTATCCTTTTGAACAAAATTATTCAACGTTTTTACAAATTCCTATTGGAAAAAAAAGTATCTTTTAAAAATGTTGGAATCCTACAATTAATCACAGATGCGAAGAAGAATTTAAAGCTCAATTATGTTGAGTTAATGCTTAATATACTTACAGTAAGAGTTGAATTAGAAAGGCTGTCCTTAGCTGAGATAGTGTTATTCATGTAAGCTAGTAATGGGGATGATTCAGCTAATATTTCTATATATGTAATTATATCCACTGGTGAAAGATCTGTCAGAGTATTTCTGTAGACTTCTTGTAGTAAAGCCATAGGTTCTTTTATGGGTCTAATCTGAGCAAAAATGAGTCCAGAAAAAAAAAAATTAGAGTTCTTTTGGAGCTTTTCAATAGTAAAACTTGTATGTTAAATTTAATCTGAGGTAGGTTTTCTTGTTCTATAGATAAATATCAGAATAAACCTAAACCATAGCATGCAGCACTAAAACCTGAATTTATTTATAAAAGATTAGCAAATAACTTAAAAAAGGATAGAAGTTACTTTAGAAGAGAAACAGAGCATGCTTGAAGTGATAATATTTTAAAAAATTGGCTTTTAGAATACTTCTTATTCTTCGATATAGAATTATATCCTAGCCAATGAGTCTACCCTAAGAGTTAAGCTCTTTAGTACTTATAAATATTGATATCCTAAGTAATAAATTATAACTTAATAATTTGAATTAGATTTTAATCAGCCAAAGAAAATTCTTTACAATGTGATTAAATGGAAATTTGCTTTCGCTGATAGTTGATTACTCATGTTGAAGTTCACATTTTCAATCACATGATGATAATTTTATGAATGTCCTACTTTATTTGCTCTTTGAAATATTCACTTTGAAGTACAAAATCTAGTTGCATTAAATTACATCTCCTTAACACGAAGGAATGGGTCTGGAGTCAAAGCACATTTTATTATTTTATTCATCAATTTTCTTTACATGTGGAAAAGAATTTTTCAGTATACCAAATAATGAGGAAGTAACATAAATTTAATATGTAAAAGTCTTTTTCAATACTCTGGGGATTTTCAAATTAATCCTATCTGTGATGCAAACATAGTACTTGGATCTCTATGTGTAAACAGTTTCAACTCTACATGAAGTTCAACTGCTAGCTACTCTTCCTGAAATGTGATATTTAAAGCACTTTAACTGAAACCAAAATGTCAAAGTAAAATATTTAACTCAACTAGTCTACTTACTTTTGTTAAAGTTTTATTAATATTTGCAGCAATGCAGGCATTATCTAAATGGCAGTTTGCATTCACATTTTCTGTAGAAAAAGAAAATAGATTATGATAACAGGACTTTCTTTTCAGTTTTGGAATATACTATATTTTACAGAAAGTGGGAGAAAGTATTTTTAAGGGACCCAGGATATGTTAACTACATAAAACATGTCTACATCTTCCATTAAATACAACCATACCCCTCCCCCACTTTTTAGCTTATTTTATAGAAGATACAGGAATTCTGGCACATTTTTGGGAAGGTGTAGCTCTTTTATACTTCACAATTATGTAGTACATATTTTATATAGTTCTTTGATAATACATAATTTTTTATTGGTTATGAATATTCATGAGATACAAAGCTGATTGTCACCACTTAATGCCCAAGATATGGCCAGATCCATACAGACAGCATACCCATTACCACAAATTACAATGATATCCCGTGTTCCCCACCCAATTATCCTCGACCTCCCTTCCCATCCACCTTTCCCCCACTCCATTTTGTATGCTGAGGTATGTTCTCTCCCTCTGCAAGTCCAATGCACCACTGTGGTCTTTCTTTCCTTCATTCTTTCTCTCTTAGCTCCCACATGTGAGTGAGCACATGTGGTATTTATCCCTCTGTGCTTTTCTTGTTTCACTCAACATAAGTTTCTCCAAGCTCATCCATGTTGTTGCTAATGGGAGAATTTCATTCTTTTTTATGGCAGAGTAGTATTCCATGGTGTATATATACAACATTTTCCTTATCCAATCGTCCACTGATGGACATTTAGGTTGATTCCATATCTTGGCTATTGTAAACAGAGCTGCAATGAACAACATTGGAGTGCAGGTATCCCTGTGACATGATGATTTCCATTCCTTTGGGTATATACTCAGAAGAGGGATTGCTGGATCATATGGAAGATCTATCTGTACTTGTCCGAGAAACCTCCATACTGTTTTCCTTAGTGGTTGTACTAATTTACCATCCCACCAACAGTGTAGGAGTGTTCCCTTCTCTCTGCATCCTCACCAGCATGTGTTATTCTCTGTCTTTTTGATTATAGCCTGTCTAACTGGGGTGAGATGATATCTCAGTGTGGTTTTAATTTGTATTTCCTTGATGACTAGTGATGTCGAGCATTTTTTCATGTACCTGTTGGCCATTCGTATGCATTCTTTTGAAAAATATCTATCCAGTTCCTTTGCCCATTTTTTAATTGGGTTATTTGTTTTTTTACTGTGTAATTGCTTGAGTTCCTTCTATATTGTGGATATTAATCCCTTGTTGGATGCATAGTTAGCAAAAATTTTCTCCCACTCTCTCATAATACATAAAATTTAACAGTACAATTTACCTTGACAGTAAGTGCCATCATTAGGTGTGAAGTGTGATTTTCCTGTGGATGTCTGATAACCTTCCTTGCAGGAGCAGTTATACCCACCATTCACATTTTCACATACTGCATGATCACCACAGACAACTGATTCACTGCACTCATCTATATCTGGAAATATTTGAAAAATTATTAAAAAATTTTTTTTAAAATTTAGTGCTCATATAGTTGCTACCTTGTCGATAACAGTATTACATATGGTTAGTGATTTCATTTCAAATTTCACAAAAAAGCAAGGAAAAAGGAAAATCCAATCATTTGGAAAGTGGGAGAAAAAACATTGCCTCATATTTTTTTAAACTTTAATTTAGCCAATCCACTTTGCCAGAGTATGGAAAATTTTATTCATGGGCCAACCTCTGAAATTACTTTCCGAATAGCATGCTTCATCAACAAAGTCATTAAAGTAATTTCCATCACTGACAATGTAACATTTAGTTCTAATTTAATAAAAACCCAATTTAAAAAATACATTTAAAATTATTTGTTTTCCAGTATTAAACTAAATTGATTGTAACAAGTCAGTTTAGAGTAATTTGGAGGATAAAAGAGTGACCTACTTTCTTTCCAAAGCTTCATTTTTGCATGTAAGTTAACCTGAAAAGCAAGATGTAGTGGAATGTCCGATTCAACTCCCTTAAAATTTTACCAAACTTACTATTTTTACTTAGGTTATATTATGGTTCCTAGTACACAATCATCACAGATAAAGTAATAAATTGTAAAAAATTAAGTCAGATTCTCAGTAGCTGTATATTGAAGCCACAATTAGGTTGCTGGGTTTTAAGCTCGCAAAACTTATATTCTGAATTTAAAATGTTACATACTATAGTGAAATGTGCCTTAAACTTATAAATACAGTATAAAATATTCAGCCTGTATAGGGAATGATTCCAAGAAACTCGAGAGTTCAAATCATCACCTTAAATTAATGCAAAGTTCTTTTTTGTTCCTCGCTGAGTTTTAACATCTTAGAGATACTTTCTGTTAAATAAACGAATGAACCTGTAATCTTAAGTTTACAATTTGATTTTCTTTTTTAAATGAATAGGGTGGCACAATACTGTTTGCTATAAAAGGGGGGGAAGAATCAAAGTCTAATTTAAAATGTCATCTAGTGAGTTATGTTACATGCAGCTGCTCCTAATTTCTCATTTAAAAACACAATAAAGGCACAGGCAAACATCTGAACTCCCACTACTAAACGCGATTCTTGAAGAAATTTCCATTAGCTAGAAAGGTAATGTTACCAGATTTAAAAAGACAATGAGAAGCCCAGATCTGAAAGAAGGCTAGAAAACGTCTTGTTGTTCTGACCAGTCTGCGTATTCACCATGTGTATTAACCCACAAAGCCGAGTAGTACACTACTTCTCAAGCAGCAGGAGTGCTTCTGAGCAGCCGTGCCCCTCTTCCTGGCATTTCTATGTATATGCAGAAACGACCACTCCACAAAAGCAAATGGACAGAAAATAAAGGCGAGAAGCAGTTGACTCTCGTGACATGGAGAACTGTCAAGAGCAGCATTCTAGGCTGGGCTACAGACCAGAGGAACCCAAACAGTACAGCTAGGGTTGTTATTTTTCAAGAAATCAATGAAATGAAAAAAAAAAAAAAATGGAACTAAAGCAAAGTCCAATCTTTTTTGGAGCGGAACTCTTGAAGTAACACATGCTGTACCCCAACTAGGAAAACGCCCCCGTGGAGGTGTGAACAGACCCGTGAAGTATCATTAATAGAACAATCTATTTCATGGGCAATAATTTTATTAAGTTCTTTGAATACTCACGCTTTATAGTTTTAGATGCCTTAGAAGGATAATGGTAAATGAGGTGTTAATTTCTCTCATTTTCAAAACCAGTTAAGGATGCAACATTCTTGAGAACTTCATCCCAAACCCAGTCTCTGAGCAACCTAAAATCCCTGGTTCTACAAACTCGATTTGCAGCCTTCCTCCTGTGCTTTGGACTTAAGTGCACACAGTCTCGGTGTTCATAACTGAATTTGTTTCAGCCTTCCCCTGCACCTCCTCCATACCCTTTAGTGTTTCCGTTGGGGTCTCTGTTCTAGTTCGAGCCCTCCCATCACCATGCACTCAGCTAGTTGGTGTCCCAGCACATCAGCCTTGGACCAAGTAAGGTATTTCAGTTTCTGAATTTACCAAGTGATAATGCAATCATCTGGAAAAATAATGAGGTAGTATCCTGAGATACTAGCATTCAAGATTAAGGTTATACAAATTTTTATATTCAGACTCCAAATGTTATAAAAGAATACTAATTATCCCATCAAAGTAATGTTTTCAAACTGTTGTCTGGTTTACACTTTTGTTTCCATAACTTTTTACTAAAATGTGGAAGTGAGGCTTGCTGAATTTGATATCCTTCTCACTCTGGGTCTCAGTGGTAGAGTTTACAGAGTTTAACCCCAGAAATGGCGGGTCTGACTATCCTAACTGGCTGTGGGCCTGGGTAGTCAAAATAGTTTCCACTATCCTCAGCAGATCACTCCATGTCCCCCTTTTACTTAGTAATATAAAGAGAACCATAAAACATTGAAAAAGCATCCTGTCTTGAATGAGAAGAAACTGGCTTGGTCAAAATGAATGTGACTGCTATTTTGCAGCAAGATCCACCTAACTTCTCTTGCAGTCTCTCACAGGGCTTAGATGGCTTGAATCTAATAAATCTGCTCTGTTTCCTCTCTCTTACAGGAAATGGCATTAGGTTTGCTTATTAAAAGACCTTCATTCAAATCCCGACTCTAACACTCATTAGCTCTGGGACCTTAGGTAATATCTCAAACAAACTAACAAACAAAACCTAACTCAAAAGAGTTCAGTCTCATAACAAATGAGGAAATATATGTGAAGGTGTTTGGAATATTGCCTAGAATATACTAGGTATCTGATGTTATAATTGAAACATCGGGGCCAATGTTTCTACTTGTATTGCATGTTTTTCTGATAGCAGGAGCCCTGTCAATAAGTAGGTTTGGAGATACGGATTCATATTCATAAGAAGTGTCTTTTTTAGGTTGCCCTGTCATAGTAATCCCCAATACTCTAAAAGAGAGAAGAAAAAACCCTTTCCCATTTTAATGAAAGCTAAATTGCTACTACGTAACTATTTGTCAGTCTAGAATTGATGGACCAGATTAAAATAATTGACCCACTTTCCCCATTACCAACCTATCACTTGACTTTATATTAGTAATTCAATATCACTAAATGCAAACACATCATTAACAACCTTAATTCATTTGCTATTTTTTCTGTGATAAGGTTATGCTTATTTTTCATGCCTACAATTAACCAACCCAGCAGTATTTTATCATAATCTTCTTTCAAACATGATCGTATATGATGGTTATCGTTCTTTTAATTATTATCGGTAACAGAGTTGTCTAACGTTTAACTCACAGACTTCAAAGAAAAGATAAAAATTCAATTGCTGGAAATAATTTACAAAGACAAAATTCAATTTTAATATTATTTAAAGCCAGAAGAATATACAATTATCATAAATTATGCAAGACAAGTCAGACATTAAAAATTACAAGCAATAAACACTGCTCTAAAGCACATGGTAAAAGTGAAGGGATTCTTGGCTTCTGCACATTTGGCCTTGGGAGAGTCACTTGACTATGGGATATGTCAGTTTCCTCATTTGTGAAATGCTAGTCTGGAACTAGGTCTCTTAGGAGCTGGGCATCTGAAGTTCTGTTTTACTGTGGTTTCAAGGATAAGAAAAACATGCACAGTGCTAAGTCTCATCCAAAGCCTTCTGCATCAAAATTACTTTATCTGTGGAAAACGGTATTTGAATATGCACTAAAGGTAAAGAATTTTCCTTGGGTCATTTCTAGCTCTGAACTGGAGTCTTACATTTTCTATTTATAGAGGTTCTTAATGACTATAATTACCAGACATGTCAAATTTAAGGTTTGGCTAAAATTTCAAATCAGAAGCAATACACTACAAGGTGACAGAGTAATGTAAAAAGGGAATAGATTAATGGTTCTCTGTTTAAATTCCCTGAGGATTATCATAGTGCACAAGGAAAATTACTACAGGACTGGAGAAAAAAGGAATAGCTGCACTGCTTCTCAAGAAAGTTTAATCCTTAAGGACAACAAGTATTGGTGAGAAATAACATTTTTCCAGAGAATGAGTTTTTCACTGAATAATCCATCAAACAAAACAGGTAGAAACAGAGGTACTCAATCGTGGGTATTGGGTTTTAATGTAGTTATTGTGTTTACCGACTACTTCAAATAGCTAAAAAGGGAATTAACAAAAACTTAGGGGTATTCCACAGGATCTCAGTAGAAATGAGTACCAGGATAAAGTGTCTTAAATTAAAAATATACTACACCCCCTTAAAATGTTGACATTCAATCATTTTGGTGTGTGGTGTGTTTTGTGTCTGTAGTTCAGTTTTTTCTAATGCAGGAATTCTCTACTTGAAGGAACATGAACAAAGAAATATACCCCTTTGTGAATTGAGGGATATTAAAAGTAAACATGATCAGATGAAAAGACAGATGTCTTCTAGAGACAAAAGACATTAGGGAATACAGAGCACAGTTAAAGTTGTATTAAATTATAATGATTAAGATGTTACAAGTTAGACTTCTTCACTAACTGGAACATTTCTTTTTTTTTTTTTTTTCCTTTTTTGTCTTTTTTCGTGACCGGCAACGGGATCGCAACCCTCGGTGTTGCCCCCGCACCTCGCTCAGCCAGTGAGCGGCCGGTCTGTATGTGGGATCCAAACCCTCGGCGGGAGCGCTGCCGCTCTTCCCAAGCGGCGCACTGTAGCAGTGCACCACCAGGCCGGCCCAAACTGGAACATTTCTACTAAAGCTTATAGACCTAGTTAATTAGAACTTAACTATTAGAAGTGAGATACACACATTACATGACATTCCAAGACTAGCAACAAGAATATAGGCTTGAGAAGAACAGTGAGGTCTATAGCACTGTAAGTTTTCTGGGCAGAATTTCATAGATTCCTTTTTCCTGAATACATTGTAAGTCTATATTCCAATAAAAAAAATTCTGAAATGTTAAAGATAAAATTATCATTCAACAGGAATAGCAATATTTTCTCATATTTTAAATCTTTCATACTCTTGCGAAGCTTGATCTACTGCATTTGCATGATTCAGATTTAACTGGTCTACCTGGTTAAGTACCTTTTTGAAGTAACAGTGGCTTTCTAGATGTAAGACTGATTCTACTCCTACCTTTATCTTAAATGTGCAAATCTGGAGTTTAACTTCCCTTGGCTATGAAATGAGGAGAATATAATCTTCCCTGTTTACATATTACGGTGAATGTTGTGAAGCATAGGTACATGTGACTGGATGATTTCTTTGATACAGATATTTTACAGATAAAATTTCCTTGAGCATTGTTTCCTAACTTATGTGTTAATAACATCTCACTAGGCAACTAATCAAATCTCTCTTTTATCTAACTATGTAATGTAGAAGCAGGACCTTATTCCTGTCTATGTTGCATATATAGTCTTGAGTTCTAGTCCCATATCTACTCTTGGCTATATGATTAAGCTCTCAGGGCCTCAGTTCATCTATTAATTTTGTAGATTATCAATCATAATTAATTATACTATTGATGGCAAATTGGATTTTTTTTAGAAACTATGATTGAGATGATTTAAAATTTATTTTAAAAGTTAATGTCTTTAGCTCCAGAGAATTTGCTTCTGAAAATTGTTCACCTGTTGAAGTTTCCAAATTACCTTTTTTTCCTCAGACTGTAATCCAAATTCTATAGAATTTCATAAATCACATCCATGGCCAAATTACAATTGAAGGCTATTTAAAAAAATCTTCCAGATACTCTCTTCAGATTCAGAATAAGTGAATAATCACTTAGGTATTGAATTAAAGTTATTATTCCTACAGAGGACATTTTAGCAAACCTGAGATGATTTTCTAATTAGGACTGTAGTGTTCAGAAAAACTTAATGTGGATATGAAGTATAATTAACTTGCATCCAGGCAGAAGTGAAACCACTAGAACAATTCTTTTCTAAGTAATGTGTCTGAAAAAATGCAGCGCCCATTGTAGAGTGTGTATTTATAAAAGCATAAATATCTTGTTATACAAATGATGATTTTCTTGAGTTAATACATTATTTCAAAGTGTACGTATTGATTATATTGTTTGCCACCATCTCATCTCATCTCATCTAATTCCTGCATTAGATCTCATGGCTCCATGAAATTTTTTTTTTTTTTTTTTTTTTTTGTTAACTGTTTGATTTTCTCAAAAAAAATTTGCTATATTCTTAGATAAATACTCCATAGTAACTTATACAACATTGGAGAAATAAAGGAATTAATAAAGTTTCTGAAAGTATTTAAAAACTAGGGTACAATCAGGGATTGGTAGAATTTGGTACAGATATTATTTAATCTCTGAGGTAAAAGCAGTAAGATATAGGTACAAATTTTAACTTAGATGATTGGACTTACCTATGCATATGGTTCCATCATTAGTGATAAACTTGTCTTGGTTGCTGCTGGATCTGAAACCAGGTGCACACATACAGTAATAACTTCCCTCTGTATTTGTGCAGTTAGCATTTTCACCACAGGACTGAGTTAAATTTCCACACTCATTATCATCTGTGGACATATCAATTTAAAATGTTATTTGTATATAATTCACATGAATTTCTTCTATTTTCCATCAGTATTTGGGAATTTTGGCTGTTAAATAGTTTATGGCAATGCGTTTATTTCCCCGAAAACTTAAAGAATCCACATTCCACACTTTTCTTGTTCTCGTTTATTTTGTGAAACCTTCTTTGTAGCTGAAAAGGAAGACTCGATCTCTTACCTCAAAAGCACTATATATAAATATTGAATCAATATTGGAATATTTTTCAATTTTTTATGTGTAATTTAATTATAATAATGTCAATAAATATATGCTCATTTGTGAATTACAGTGCTCTTCATAATCAGTCAAAAGCATACCATAATTTAAAGATCAAAAATTAAAAACTGGCATGCTCTTATCATGTACTATTTATTTTCGTCATTTGTTCCCTAGAAAAATTTTGCAATTCTATGTCTGCAATCCTTCATTTATTCATTAGTGCATTTGCTCACAACTATATACATTATGTTGTTTTACAGCACAGTACACAATACACACACGCACACACACAAAAGGAATTATATCATGGTCCTTACCCTTATATTCTTACAATTTACCTAAAGAAATAAAAATTCAAAGCCTTTTTTAAAAATCAGAAAACAGAATCATTTTATCTGTCAAATAAATGAACTGGAAAATAAGTGCTTCTCAGAGGTCATCACAAAGGGCAGGAGAAGAATATTTTCCAGTGACATGAGATCCTGTTGTGGGTTCAATTGTGCCTCTCAAAAAGATATGTTAAACTCATCACATAAAATACTGTTTTCTGCTAAGGTAATGTTTTCTGTTATGGTTTCAAAGTTGTTTTTTTCAAATGCCCATTTAAAGATGGTTATGATATCAATCTGTGAATCTGATGTTATTTAGAAATGGGACCTTTGCAGATGTAACCAAGTTAAAATGAGATCATACTGAATTAGGGTGGGCCCTAATCCAATGACTGGTGTCCTTAGAAACTGAGAGAGATTTATATATAGTGGCAGAGGAGAAGGCTGTGTGAGGACAGAGGCAGGGACTGAGTGATGCAGCTGCAAGCCAAGGAATATGCCAAAGGTAGCTGGCAACCGCTAGAAGGTAGAAAGGGGCAAGGAAGGATTCTTTCCTAGACCATTTGGAAGGAGCATGGCCCCACTGACACTTTGATTGTAGACTTTTAGTCTCCAGAACTGTGAGAAAATAAATTTCTGTTGTGTTAAGTCACCAAGTTGGTCATAATTTTTTACGACAGCCCCAGAAAACTGATAGACCCAAACTGGACAATATAGGATAGGTACGTAACAGTCAGATGGAGAGAAAGAGAGAAGGAAGAAAGCTAAAGGAAGACAAAGTGTTGGACAAAAGTGATGGCATAAGGGTGATGGAGACATTTCTGAAGGTAGAGGAAGCCTCACTGGGGAGCACAGAGAGAAATCATAAGGGAATCATTGTAAAAACAAGGCAAGTTTGAAAAATGTCTTGAATTTTTACTCTTCATTTTAATCAAACCAAGTTTAATTTCTTTTTAAAGGGTGAGTTGTATAACATTTAATTCACTTACAGGCTATTGCATATATAGAGTGATAAGTAAGATTTGGAGGATTTTCCAAATGCTTTATACGTATTAATTCATTTAATGCTTCCATAAGCTCTAGGAGGTAGGTATTATCCTTTTTAATTGATAAGAAAAATGGAGCAGAAGTAGCCCAGGCCTCACACCTAAGACTTTTTTGCTGTTGTGGCATCAGGCCCCGTTTTTCCTTACAAAAGGCACCTTCTCGGGAGGTTGAGTTGGAATCCTTAGTTCCCTTGAAAATTCTCATCCCTAGCATTTGACTTAAATTATTCTTGGGTCAGTAGGAGAGAGCAAAAGGGAAGAGTTTTGAGCTGCCCCTAGAGGCCAATGACTTTCAGACATATAAGAACATAGGTTGAGCTCCCCAAAGTTTTTATAAGCCAGGCAGGTAGCTGAAGTTTGACTCCACCAGGTGTTAGACAATAAAAGGTGGTGTATCTTGTGACTCTGGGAAGTACACACCTAACCTAAGGGATTTTAAATTTTAAAAATTTGAAAATCATATTTAAAACACTTTACTCAGATTTAACATTTGGCCAGGCATTATATGGCCAATGGAGGTTGGAGAAATTGAGGAAAGTTGCTAAAAATATGACAATAAAGTAAGATAAATTGTGAATGCTTTTATATGAAATGCGGAAGAGTTAATATTTTATTGATATGCATGTATTTAATTTATTCTGTATAAATGAATATATTATTCAACTTTATATGGCTATATAAACATATATAGCCATATGCTCAGAAAGCATACATATATGTCTATGTATGCATACAATAGAAATTAAACTAGTTCATGAAAATTAACTGAGAGTGGCTCAGAAATTGAATATAGACACCTAAATTAAGTGCCTAAATTCTTTAAATTTCAAGTTAAAGAAAAATATTTCACCCACATTGGGTTTGATTCAATCATTCAGTGACTCAAATATTCATAGAGTTCCTAGTTCCCAAATGTGAATCTGTCTATACTGGGAAATAAGTGGAAATTAATCAAAAAGTCAGGATCTGTGCCCTGCTGTCAGAGATCACATTCTAAAGGTAAGTTAACAGAGAAGCATATAATTGAGTTTTTATTAAAATAAAAGTTTTCATTTTTATCTCTAAATTTGAGTCCCTTCACAGGATACTGGGAGAAGTTTATATTAAACTTTAAAAGAAATTGTGCTCTCATATCAGTTATTGGTAATATAGAGAAGAATGAGGATCGTATCCCTTGTGGGATATATCTGCAAAGATGATATGCAAAAATACAGAGAAAAAGGGCTCACTAGGTCAGAATCCAAATAAAATGAACCGTGTTATATCTCAAGTGCCAAATAAAATGAATCCATCAGGTCAGAATCCAAATAAAATGAACCGTGTTATATCACCAAACTGATTGTGTTTCTAAAAATAAATTAACACACCAACATGTTATTTGACTTTGACATATTTTTATTAGTCTTGGGTAACATATTAAGAGGCAGAAGAAAAACAAAAGTTGACATTGATTTTTGTGTCTCTTCCTACTGTAAGCTTTTGAGCACGTGACCTCTTAGCTTCCTCACCAAGAATTTGGAAATAAAAATGTTTCCTTATCTATCTCCAAATCTTCTAAACTGGATATGTAATGTGGACAAATTCCCTAATGGTCCAACTCAAATCTTGTCTCAAACCCTTATCTGAAAGTAACCTCCTCTCTTCCCTCAAGATAGTGGAGACAGGCAAAAAATTACCTTTGTGAAGTAATATATAAATATGAATTATTTAAATTGCCTGAAACTTTCTGGTGTTCAGCTTCATTATAATTAATCTTCAAGGAGAAATTTCTCTGGATGGGTATAACATAGGACAATAAAAGCCTGCTTCTTTTGTGCTCTTATTTCTGGTGTTCAAATCAAATTATCAGTTATATTATCCACTGTCTGTAACTCCATATTTAATCCTTTTTGTGGATGATAAAATAAATAGATTAAGATGTCCCTTGAAAAATTCACTATAATAGAGTAACATTGAAAACACATTTTAAAATGTTATCAAAAAGGAGAAATACTAATACGGAGAAATATTTGGCATTGTCTCAGCAAAAATTCTTCCCGGCTCATCGCTAACATGCTGCATCAAGCATTGTGAGACCAAAGGCATGCACACAGCCTCTAACAAAGGGATCCGTGGCTACTGGAGCAGATGTGCCAAGACCTAAATTATAAGACTGTAGTGTGTGTAATAGATAAAAGAGGCACTTAGTACAGTGTTAACTCAGAGAGGGGAATGGCTTCCTCAGGTTGTTTGCAGAATACAAGGGTGAAGATTATTCAGAGGGAAGGCTTAGAAGAGGAAGAAATGCTTGAGCCAGGCACTCAAGAACTTAGACAAACGAAAGGGGCCCCAACAATCCATTTAAGCAAAGGGAAGAGTTGACCCAAATGCCCAGAGACCTGCAGAAGCAGCATAATTTAGAGGATAATTATATTGTTGAAACTGAGTATGTGGGTAGAGGTTGTAAGGCAAATATTGGTGCAAGGAGGCATGACCCAAACAGAAAAGTTTGCCAAGAATTTGAAAGCATATTCAGTGGGTAAAGGATGGCCATGACAGATTTTGTGTAGTGGAGAAATCTGCTTGGATTTGAGTTTCAAAACAGTTTTTGAAATGCAAAGAAAACTAGCTAAAATCCAGGTAGAACACTTGAGATCCATATATAAGACTTGAGGAGCTCACCAAAGAAGAGTCAAGAAGAAAGAGGTAAGCTATATTTCAGAATATTCAAGTGTTAAAAGTAAGTGATCTGAGGAAGAGAAAGGGAAGTAGGTAGGATTAAACTAGATTGGCCATGAATTGAAAATTGTGTCATCTGGGTGATGGCTACATGTAGATTTTTGTATTATTATTTTTATTTGTGTGTATTTGAAATTTTTTCACAATAAAATAATGTCAAAAATATCAGTAGGGCTTAGAGATTAATTAGATATTTGAGTTGGCTGGGAGGGAGGTGAGGCAAAGACAGCTCCCAGGTACTGACTTGGAGGGATTTGGTGGATAAACTGATCCACTTACCAGGACAGGAAGAAGCAGAGGAGCAACTTGCATCCAGGTTAAGGTAGTGAGCTCACTTTTGGACATGAGGAAATTGAGGTGCCTTGATTGACTGAGGAAATTCGGACAGTAATATAAACAGCTGGATAGTCAACCATGTGGCCATAGATGGTCTAATCAGGAAGGAGAGCTCAAGACTCCCTTCTTCTCTTGAGGAGCATGGGTCAGGTTCAAGAACATGGTATTTACTAGGCTCCAGTGAAAGGGGCAAGCCTGCTGTTTGCACTTCTCTCCGGACAGATCCTCATCCTCACCTTCTAACTCCCGTTCCTATCTCAGTTTAAATGAACTTGGCTGTGGACATTATTGCACTCTTGTTTTGTCTCCCCTCCC